CCTTTTGATGTAACCTGAAAGACACAGAGGTCTTCCATGTGATGGTTCAGTGCTCTAAGGACTACAGCAGCCAGCTGGGCCAGGGGCAAGTCAGGAGCCGGAATCCGTTCAGTGCTGGCAGGTGAACCAACGCCGTTGGACCCTCCCAGGCTGCCCTGTAGCAGGAAACTGAGTCAGCAGCTGGGACTCCAAGCTGGCTCCCCCGTCAGGGAACGTGGGCACCCCCAGAGGTGACTTAAGCCACTGTACTGAGCGCGTCTCCCTCCATTTCCTCATCTGTGAGATGGGACTGTACCCACCTGTCCGGGGGTTATGAGGGTCCAAAGAGGAGGGGTGGTGAAGACTGGGAGGAAGGCAGCAGCTTACATGCCTTAAAGGCAGATGCACACAGAAAAGCAGACCCAGAGAAAGATTTTCCATCTGCTGGTTTACTCTCTCCTGGGTCACAATGGCCAGAGCTGAGCCGATCTAGAGCCAGGAGCTTCTTCAGGGTCTCCCACGTGGGCAGCTTTGGGCCATCCTCTGCGGCTTTCCCAGGAACTGCATGGGAAGTGGAGCAGCCGGGACACCCACGTGGCAGAGTCAGCCGAGCATAGAGATCTGGCTGCCGCTCCCACCTGTGGGGAGGGATGCTCAGCCTCCTGCAGAGGAACCAGGGAGGGGCCCCAGGTGGGGGAGGGAGGCTGTGGCTCAGTAACAGTGGGATGCCACAGACAGAGGGAGAAAAACAAGGCTGAGCAATCAAGATAAATGCAATTACAATAGCCCAGGAATGGGGGACAGGAAGGGTGAGGTGGAGCATACCAGCAGAGTATCTACGGGTCACACTGGGTGGCCGGTGGCCTGGGGGGAGGGCCCTGGGGGCAGAGCCAGCACAGCCTAAGTGAGTGAAAGCTTGCTGGAGGCCAGGCCTGCAGCCTGAGACACAGGACAGTGCTCCGTTACTTTTCTCTTTTTCTCCTTCTTTTAAGATGTGTTGATTTGCTTGAAAGACAGTTTTGGAGAGAAATTTTTTTATCCATTGGCTCACTCAGCAAATGGCTGGCCACGCCTGCCAGGTCGAGGCTAGGTACCGAGAGCTCCAAGCATCCGCCCCTGCCTTCCCGGGGAGCAGTGCACGGATGGACAATGCAGCAGCTGGGACTGAAGCTGGCATCTTCCTAGGACACTAGTGCTGTTGCAAGTGGAAGCTAGAACCCTTTCCCTTGCTCCGCCACTGTTTTTCTGGATCTTCCAGGGGAAGGAGTTAGGGTGAAGATGCTTTAGCTTTGGAGGATTTGATGTGTCACCTCCCGGTAGGGTGCCACACTCTTACAAAGGGAGAGCTGGCAGCTCAGCTGACCCTTCCTGGCACCCTGGCAGGGTTTGTCCTGGGATGGGTCCAGGTTGTGTCTCCAGTAAGCCCCCCCTTGCCAGGGTCCGGTACCCACCCCTTCATCAGGGAGCTATCTGGTAATTTTGTTCGTCTCCCTGGAGCGTGCAGCAGCCTGTTCTAGGGTAGTGCAGCAGTGACCCCGATAAGCCCAGCCAGAGCCCAGGGCGCTCAGAGTGCGCACCCGCACGGGGTCCATCTCTCCCAGCCCACGCACTGGCAGGTAAACTCAGTCCATGGCAGATTGAGCGCACTCGGTTTGCGACAGGCTCCCGAAAGCACTGGCATTATTCCTACTCAGACTGACTTAGTGGCTCAGTGGGTGGCGGCATTTTCAATAAAACGTGCCCCAGCAGGGACCTCGGCCGCTTCCGTGCAGCCCCAGCCCACAGTGGGAGGGGGACGCTGGGCAAGGCTCATGCGCTTGAGCTCTGCCGCCCTCTGCTGGTCGATGTCCAACCGTACGGTCAGTTCCCCAGCAGAGACCCTGGCCGGGCTGGGACTGAGACACTGGCCCTGGCCCCTCTTGAATCTCCGTGCCCAGCTCAGCCACTCAATGCTTTCACTCTCCCTGAACCCCAGTTTCTTCACGTGTAACGGTTGGGGTGGGGGAGCTGGGAACTGAACAAGACCGGAAGGACAGTGTCACTGGCATTGCCGGGCCAGACCCTAGTGCGGGATTGCCTGGCCTGTTTCTGAGCAGGGTGAGCTGGGCCAGTAGGGCCTCACGCACACCAGCAGCCATCCCGTCGGTGGGAGCTGGCGTCTGTGTCTGAGATGCCAGGGAGGGGGTACAATGCTGCATATTCCCTTCTCTGAACTCTCAACTGTCACCTTTGCTGCCCCCTCACATCCTTCTTGGAGCTCAGTGGCTGTCAGAATCTGGAGCAGCTGGGACTAGAACTGGTGCCCTTGAAGGACGCTGGTGCTGCAAGGTGGAGAATTAGCATGTCGACCCACCACGTTGGTCTTAGAATCCCCTTCTACAACCCGATGGATGCCTCAGAAGCATACAGTCTGGAGACCAAGCCTCACCCACGAGAGGGGGGCTCGGCCATCCTCCCCGGATCTCAGGGCTCCCGGGCCAGCTGTTGCTTTTGTGTATTCTCAGGGAGCTTTGAATGCTCTTCCTCTCAAGGAATGGTGTGGAAGTGGGTCTGCAGGAGTGGGGTGGGGATGTACCAGCCGCCACCCTCTCCCTGTGCCCAGACAAGGAGAGAAGGTGACTCAGGGTGTGTGCCCCACCCGTCCGTCCTGGGCACGCCTGGGTGTGGCCTGAACCCCAGCTCCTGCCTGCCTGGCAGAAAACTGGAGGCGGTATAGGGGAACAGACACCTATGGCTTGCGGCTCTGGGCCCCCAGTGGCCTCTGACCAGGGCTTCTAGCTCCCACTTGTCTTGCCCAGTCTACCAGACTGGATTGTGAGAAAGGGGGGACGTTGGCAGAGCAGGAGGCAGGGGAAGTGGAGGGGCAAGGATCCGGCCTCTCCGGGGCGCTGCCTCTGCAGAGCAGGTGCGGGGCTGGCCAAGCTGGCCGGGTGGGATGCATTCCGGAGCCCAGCAGGCCTAGCTGCCTCTGTTCTCTTGGCCTCTCCTGGGGGGACAGGCTGTCTCCTCAGTCCTGGGGGTTGCAGGGGAGGCTGGGCTGGAAGTGCATGGCCACTGTGTACAACAGCATTAAGGGGGCCACCACCCCATGTGACCACTGAATGTGGCCTGTCCCCCGCGGGCCCCTTTAAATCTCCTCTGGACAAGGGGCTGCAAAGGGAGGGAGTGACGGCCTGTGGTCCTGTTTGGCCGCAGGTGAGAAGGGCGGGGCAGGGCCAGGAGGTGGCCCAGGTGAGGCAGGTCTGATTAACCACCCTGCCCTCCCCAGCGGCTTCACACTGACCCCAGGCTAGGCCTTGTTAGAGACCAGGGAATTCCCATAAACCCCACCTGTGCTCTCCGGGGGGCTGGCCTGCAGCGAAGGTTAGACAGGACAGGGGCAGGGGCGGGGCGGCCAGGAGGGGAACTGCTGCCAAGGCCAAGAGCAAAGCCCTTTCAGGGAGCCCCTCCCCCCACCATGCTGCAGAACCCATCCCGCTTTACCTGGGGCCAAGTCTCCCTCCTTCCCTGACCTTGAACTCCCAGCATCACCAGTGAAGGGCAACGGTTCAGGGCCCTCTGTCCCACTGCCCGGTGTGCCAGGCCTGGGGCTTTCAGTAGGCTACTTCATGGCAAACACACAGACGTGGCAGTGCCTGGCACAGGGCCAGTGTTAAGTGAACGTGAACTCATTAGCACATGGGGTCTGCAGGGCAGCCCGCCCAGGATCCACAGCTCACTCCCCACCACCAACACCTGGAATCTCGCAGGAGTGATGGGGCAGTCTTTATGTTGAGGGTGCCCCTACTGGGAGGTGGTCTGAATCCCCTCCTTCCTGACCACCCAGCTGGCCAAGCCACCAGGTCAAATATTCTATAAAATATACATTTGTGTATATGTTCTTTTTCATTTAAACAAATTTATAAAAGATATTTATTTGGTTATTTATTTTTTTTTTGAAAGGCAGATGTACAGAGAGAAGGAGGCACGGAGATCTCCCATCCGCTGGTTCACGCCCCAAGTGGCCACAACCGAGCCAGGAGCCAGGAGCTTCTTCCGGGTCTCCCACGCAGGGTCCCAAGGCTTTGGGCCGTCCTCTGCTGCTTTCCCAGGGCACAAGCAGGAAGCTGGATGGAAGTGGAGCAGCTTGGGACAGAAACCAGCAGCCATATAGAATGCCAGTGCTTACAGGCATAGGATTAGCCAGTTGAGGCAGTGTGCTGGGCCCAAGATTTATTTATTTGAAAAAAAAAAGAGTGACAGAGAAAGGCAGAGGAGGGAGGGATGAAAGAAACTGGTGGCAGAGAGATCTTTAATCCACTGGTTCACTCCCCAAAAGCCTTCAAGAGACAGGACGAAGCAGGACCCACGCTTGGGGGGATCAGTGCAAACGTGGGTAACAGGGCCCAGCACTTGGGGATCCCTGCTCCCGTGCAGGCGTGCTAGCAGAGAGTAGAGGCAGAACTCAGTCAGACTCGTTGGTCCTGCTATGCTCCATAGCTGGTGAGTCAGTCCCTTCCCCCCACCCTGCCTCCACGTTTACAGCCCCATCCCACGGCAGAAAGCTGACTAACGCAGGGAAACAGGCACTCTGGCGGACACCTGTCAGGTGCCAGGTGCCTGCTGAACTCCACGGGAGCCTCACAACCCTCCTTTCCCCAGAGTCTGTGACTGAACCCATTTCCCAGGTGAGGGTGCTAGAGGCTCAAGAACTCACCCCAGGTCCTGGAATCAAAAGCCAGGGTGGGAATCCAAGCTCTCCCACCTCCCCACCTTGCAGGAGTTGTTTTGAAACAAAACCAGAGACAAAACACAGGTAACAACTCATGGTGACTTAGTTATTACACTTACGGCTGGGACAGACAGGCCAAGGGGGGCCGCAGGGGCAGGCTGGGGGAGGTCAAGTCCAAAGAACACCCATGGGTGTCAGGTGCAACCCTGGGGACGGCCACGCAGGGGGTGCCAGGTGCAAGGCCCTCAGTCCCGGCCTGCGTGCCAGGAGCCTTGTTAACAAGCCCCGAGCCAAGAGGCCGCTAAGAAATGCCTTTCTCAGTTCAGGGTTCCAAGTCTGAGGCCTGGGCTCCGGGCTGCGCCTCCACGGAGATGCAAGTGGGGGCCAGCCTGGTGGGGCAATGCTCTGCAGGGGGCGGCAGTTGAGGGGTGATGCAGGGGTACCCCTCCCTGCCACAGCCCCGAGCGGTTCAGATCACCACACAGAAGCTCTGGGTGAGCCTCCGCCAGAAGTTGCGGCTGCGGCTGCTGAGCGCCACGTCGACCGCCTCCTGGAAGACCGCGTCCACGTTGTCATGGAGCCGAGCAGAGCACTCGAGGTAGGCCACGGCGCCCACGGACCTCGCCATCTCCTGGCCCTGGGAGACAGGCGGGAGGTGGTAGGGACACCAGGTGATCCTCCCGCCTGCTCCCCACAGCCTCCGTCCTGGGGCATTTCCAGGACAACTGTGTGTGTGTTGGGGTGTCCAACTACGGCCAGTTCCCTAAGCCCTGGCAGCCTCTGAGATGGCCCCCCTGGACAGACCACACACCCAAGGCAGGGGTTGAGTCCCGCTCCGCCCCTGCCCCACTCTGGCATCCTACCCTGTGGTATGTCACTGGCTCCGCCCCGCTCTTGCGCAGCCTGTTCACCAGCGACCTGTCCTTGCGCAGGTCTGTTTTGCAGCCCACCACGATGATGGGCACTTGCTTGCAGAAATGGGTCACTTCTGGGTACCACTGCAGGGGGTAGCAGCAGAAAGGTGGGTGTGGGCCGCGGGAGTGTCCTCCCTCCCCGTGAGCCGCTCTTCATTTCCTGGGGTGGGGAGCTGGAGCCCGCAGCCAGGGCGCAGATCCTGGGGACCTCAGCTCTTGACACTGCTCCCTCAGCAACCTCACAGTAAGCTCTACGGCAGGTCCACCGTGCAGACGCGCTAACGGAGGTACATGGTGGATACTCAACCTTGCACGGCAGTTGCTTACGCAACCGGAAATGACAGGATGTGAGCCTGCTGCCCACACAGAGGACCCCAGTGGAGTTTTGGACTCCTGGGTCCAGCCCTGGCTGCTGTGCACAACTTGGAAGTGACCAGCTGTCTCAAAAATGAGCAATAATCCACCCGAAGAATGGTGCCAGTGGCTGCCTTGGGGTGCAGCCCCACCATGTGCCACCCGTGGGGTACACTGGGTTGCCCCACAGGGAATCCCCCAGGTCCCAAACAGCCTCCTCGTGCGCTAGCCCCAAGCACCCACACTGCCTTGGGGGAGGGTCCCACTGGTGCCTCCACCTGATTCCAACTCCCAGAGGCCTTGGCGGCTGACACCAGGGGGCGCTCGTCTGCCCAATCCTGGTACCCTGTCCTCCCTGGCCCAGTGCCCTCCTCTCCCTCCTCCTGCCAAGGCTGGCTGGGGTTGTGTCTGTTCTCACTGCCCAGGTCACACCTGTACCCCCGCCGGCAGTCCTAAGCCTGACTTTTCAGCCCAACCTGACACCTTCACCAGAAGTCCACCTCGTCTCCCTCCCGAAAATCCCAGAGGCTCTGCCTCCACGCCCCACTCCCACTGCCAGCCGAGGGACCCCGGCACGACCCCAACACCCCAAAATTGCTCCACCAACATTTCAGGGAGCCACAATGGCTAGGCTGCTGGCTGGGACACCCCGAATCTCAACCTGAGCGTTCTCTGGGCGGTCGCAGGGGAAAGCTCAGGACCCCTGGGGGAGACGTAGGTGGAGTTTGGGGCTCCTGGCTTTGGGTATATGGGGAATGAACCAATAGGATATGTCTCTGCTCTCCATAAAAAACAAAGACACAACTGTGAGTGAGAGGCTGGCGTTTGGCTGAACAGTGAAGATGCCGGCATCCCACATGGCAGTGTCTGGGTTCGAGTCCCAGGTCTGGCTCCTGACTCCAGCTGCCCGCAGACACAGACCAGATGAGCCACTTTGAAGCCAGGAGCCAGGAGCTTCTCCTGGGTCTCCCATGTGTGTACAGGGACCCAAGCACTTGGACCATCCCCTCTTGCTTTCTAAGGTCATAAGCAGGGAGCTGGATGGGAAGTGGAGCAGCTGGCACTTGAACTGGTGCCATGTGGATGCCAGCACCACAGGTAGAGGATTACCTACTGTGCCACCGTGCCAACCCCAGCAAGTTCTTAATAAACACTACTAGTGTTTTGGTGACTGTTGCTGCTAATGCTGGCGCTGGTGCGCCTCGGGCGTCTCAGGACTAGCTGGGTCTTCCTCCTGCCTCACCATCCCGTTGTCCCTACCCGGCTGAAGACATTGTCGAAGCTGCTGGGGCTGGTGACATCAAAGCAGAGGAGCAGGACGTTGGCGTCGGGGTAGAACAGAGGCCGCAGGCGGTCGTAGTCGTCTTGCCCTGCACAGACAGGTGCACAGACACTGTCATCCTTCAAGGGCTCCGCAGTAGCAGGGTGGTCACTCGTCACTCAGGGTTAACGGGGGTCGGGGGGGCCTCAGAGTCAGCCCTGAATCTGGCCCTTTGTCGGGGGCTGCTCTGCATGGCACCTGCCTTGGCATGTCCGGGGCTGAGAGGACCGCTTCCTGGGACAAGGCAGAGGTCAAGGGCACTCAGAAGAGCCAAAGCCAGTGAGGGGGGCTGGGGAAGCCAGGACAGGTCATTCCGGAAAGCTGAGAGTCCAGGGCTTAGTGGGCTGTCCTGCAGCGGCGGAGGCAGACAGGGAGCGCCCCAGCCCCGGCCGACACCTGTCCCTTGAGATCCCTTGAGACTGCCCCCTGGTTCAGAAGGAGGTAGCTGGGGCTCGTCCCTGGGCCCCTGCTCTGCCCCCACAGGCTCCCCACGTACCTGCGGTGTCCCAGATCTGCAGGTGCACTGCTTTACCCTTCATCTGCCGGCTGGCGGAGTAGCGCTCGAACACGGTCGGGCTGTAGTTCTGAGGAGGAAGGTGGGGGTGAGGGGTGAGCCCCAGGAAGGCCACAGCACAGCTAGCCCCTCCAGGCCTTCCTGGCGTGGCTCCCCCCAACAGGGACGAGAAGCACCAGCCACGAGCGCTCCTCCAGTCCCGCCAGCTGCTCCGTGGGCGGCCCTAGTGCGGGGTCTGGCCCCACTCAGAGCCCCCGCGGGTGGTAGCATCTGTCGCTGTCACCCCACTCCCACCTCCTCGTGCCTGCTGTGTCTGCTCTGCTCCCGGAATGATGGCAGCCCACACTGCCTGCTTCTTACTTCCTTCCTTTGTTCAGTCATCTCCGTGGTCAGTCAAGGCCCCAGGTGGACCCTGTCGCGGAAGAGGGGCTCACAGCTGTGCCCCCACTCCCGGCCTCTCAGCCCCCTTCTGTCCAGCGTCCCCTCCCCCGGGGACCTGAACTGATCTGGTGGCCAGCTTTGTCCTTTGGCCTCTGACTGGCCTGTCTGGCCTGTGGCAGGGCCTGGCCAGAGTCCGCATGGCCGGACCGCCCTCCTCCGCAGGCTGGGCAAGGCCGGCCATGGACAGCTATGTTTGTCTAAAGATTTTTTTTTTTTACTTATTTATCTGAAAGGCAAAGTTACACAGAGAGAAAGAAGAGATCTTCCCTCTCTGGTTTACTCCCCAAATGGTCGCAATGGCCGGGGCTGGGCCAGGCCAAAGCAGGGGCTCCTTCCACATCTCCCACGCAGCACGTGGACCACTCTCCACTGCTTCCCCAGATGCCTTAGCAGGAAGCTGAGCTGGACGGGAACGGAGCAGCGGGACTAGAACGAGAGCCGGTGTGCGATGCTGGTGCAGCAGCCGAGGGTATCGTGCAGGTGAGAATCCAGGAATGGGGCCAGTACAGGACCGTGTCACATGAATCCTCTGCCTGTGACGCTGGCATCCCGTCTGGGTGCCGGTTTGTGTCCCGGCGGCCCACTTCTCATCTAGCTCCGTGCTCGTGGCCTGGGACAGCAGCAGAGGACGGGCCCAAGTGCTTGAGGCCTTAGGAGACCTGGGGAAGCTCCTGGCTCCTGGCATTGGGCCTGCCCAGTTCTGGCTATTGCAGCCGTTGGGGGAGTGAACCAGTGGGTGGAGGATCTCTCGCTCTCTGTAACTCTGGTTCTTAAGCTTAAAAAAAAAAAATCCTAGAGAAAGAAAGAAAATCTAGGAATGGCCAATAAGTGAGATTTTCACAGCTGCCACTGCTAGTGCCAGGTGCACTGGGGGCCTGGAGGAGCTGCCTGCATCCAGTCCCCAGCCCCGTCCCCAGTGGAGTGGTGGGACAGAGCTCTCCCCTCCCCCCACACCAGGTAGGGCTCTGGCTGCCCGTGACTCAGGAGGACTTGGTGCCCGCCCGCCTGCCACCTGGACCTCAGAGTCACTCTCAGGCTAGCTGGGAGAGCTAGTGCCATTTTCCAGGGTGCCCAGGAGGCTGGGCAATGCAGGGTGGGCAGGGGGCAGGGTCCCCTGGCACGGGCAGGTAGCTTTGGGATCAGCTGTCCCTGGCTCAGAGGTAGCTCTGATACCCACCAGCCGTGTGACCTTGGAGCGAGTGCAGAAGTGGCCACAGCTGCAGGGGAAGTAGTCACCCCAGCCTTGTTCCTGTGGAGCTGCCCCTGAGCTGTGGGGGTCCCGAGGTGGGCCCCTCCTGACATGAGCTGCAGAGAGGGGACACGATGGCTCATGGTGACACGTGGACCCTTGGTCAGTGACGGAGCAGGATCTGCAGTCCCCAGAGGTCAGGCTGTGTCTCCGGTCACCCGCCTTCCCCCAGGTCCTGGTGCCAGGGAAGGGGCTGGCCGTGCTCTGCTGGGTCATGCTAGAGACTCCGGCCTGAGCTTTTGGTGAATTCTTTGCTTTTTGGGGCTACCCTCATCTGTGGAGCTGTGAGCAGGCTGTGCAGCACCTGGTCCTAGGTGACTCAGCCCTGGGCCTGCCCCCCTCATGGGATTTTCAGAGAGGCGGGTGGATCATTCCAAACGGGGGACACAATTCCAGAGGGGGGGGGCAGGGAGGCTCCAGGAGTGTAAGTGCAGACCCAAGAAGGGCTCACTGCTTCTGGCCTGCACACTGGGCGCTCCCTGCCCCTCCTGTGCCTTCGCCAATGCATGGACCGCAGGGACCAGATGCCGTCAGGATGGGCCTGAGCTGCTGATGTCTGGTCCTGGGGTCCCTCCCTGGCCCAGGAGCTCTGTGTATCTAGGAATCCACCGGGATCCATCACCCCCAGACTCTGCTTTTGCTGTCAGCAAGAACCCTGGGTTTGGGGCTGCCCAAAACAGGCAGCTGTGGGCAGCAGATGCAGTACTGGTGGTCCCAGAGTGCCCAGGCTGGGGAAGACCCAGGCTTCCGACCAGCCCTGCAGCCCCAGGCCAGCACCTCCCTCCCTCCCTGGCCTTGTCCTGTAAGATGGAGACGTTGCAGCCCTTGGCCTGTGGTTTCGTAGATGTGCTCTGGGGACCGACCTCTGGCCGAATGGTTAAGAGCTCGTGTCCAGCTTCATTAGGCCTGGGCTCGAGCTCCGGCTCTGCCATCTGACTCCAGCTTCCTGTTGCCCTATACCCCAGGCGGCAGTGGCGCTGGCACAGGTGATGGGGTGAGGACTGCTACGGGCATCTGGGGAGCAAGGCAGCAGCTGGGCACTCTCTTTCTCTGCTGCACAAATAAAAATAGCTTTTATTTTACTTTATCTTTTTAGGTATATTTTCATTGGGTCTGAGCTACTGGCTCAATGGCTGGAACTTCACCTTGCACGCACCAGGATCCCATAAGGGTGCCAGTTGGTATCCCGGCTGCTCCACTTCCCATCCACTTCTTGATTGTGGGCTAGGAAAACAGAGAGGACGGCTCAAAGCCTTGGGACCCTGCACCCGCGTGGGAGACCTGGAAGAGGATTATCTGGGCTCCTGGCTTCGGATCAGCTCAGCTCTGTGGCCACTTGGGGAGTGAACCAGTGGACAACTCTTCTCTGTTTCTTCTCCTCTGTATATCTGACTTTCCAATAAAAATAAATAAAATCTTAAAAAAAAAGATTTTTATTTGCAAAGCAGAGTTAGAGAGAGGAGAGACAGAAAAAAAGATCTTCCATCTGTGCATTCACTCCTCAAGTGGCTGCAACGGCCAGACCTGAGCCGAGCTGAAGCCACGCAAGTGCAGGGTCGGTCCCAAGGCTTTGAGCCGTCCTCGACTGCCTTCCCAGGCCACAGGCAGGGAGCTGGATGGGAAGTGGAGCAGCCAGGATATGAGCCGGTGCCCACATGGGATGCTGACGTCTTAAGAAGCCCAGCTTACTACGCTGTCGTGCTGGCCTACGCAGAAAGGTCATCTTAAAGGAGGCGAACCAACCCTTTTGGTCACTCCCATTTCATCAGCTGCAACATGCCTATGTCCAGTTAAGGATGCATCTTGGGCGAGGGGTGTCCCTCCTGTGGGCTCCCCCATGTTCCCAGCATGGCGGTGGAGGGGAGGCAGTTCCGGAAGCACCACCCCTCTTCCAGCTGAAGAAGAATGTATAACTGGCAAAGGAGGGGATGGATGGTGACACCATCGTCCACAAAGCCAGAGCGGCTCCAACCAGGGCCAGCGGCCAGGGGGCAGGGGCCAGCGGCCAGGGGCCAGCAGCCAGGGGGCGGGGGCAAGGCCTCCTCCAGCCGGCTGCCCGGTGCCTGCACAGCCAGGGAGTTGGGGGAATGTGAACAATGCTGGGAGAGGAAAGGAAGAGAGGGAGGGGTTGGTAGGACACCCCACCGCTGTCGCCTCCTTCCAGGGACCCAGGGGTCACAGCGGGTGGGGGCACAGGGTGCCCGCCTGTTTCTCCTCCTCAGCACCTCACCTGGCCATCGTGGGGAAACTGAGGCTGAGTCTAAGGAAGCTCCCCCTCCCGCGTGGGGCAGACCAGGGGAGCCTAGCTGCCCATCTCGGCCCCCGGACGCGCGTGGCAGGACAAGAGACAGACCAGACAGGATGCCAACCTCCAGCGAGTGGGTCTCGTGTTGTGAGACCCCTGTACCTCCCCAGCTCTCCCCCAGGGGCTCTCACAGCGACCCTCACTCCTCCAGCGGCAAAGAGGGTGGAGACCTGCCCCCACGGGCCCACCGTCCACGCAGACAGCCTGACCGTCCCTCCCCTCTGGGCCCAGAACCGGTGACAGCGCAGCCAACCCTTCCCTCTCCCTTGCCCGTCCTCCCCTGGCGCGCATTCAGCCAGTGGACACTTGTGGAGCGCCTGCTGTGTCGGTAGCGGGGAGCCTGTGTCTCGCCCCAGGCCGGAGGCCGCGGTGGGCCGGGCAGGCCCCGGGGCGCCCGCACTCACCTCGGGGAAGTCTCCCTGGGTGAAGACCAGCAGCAGCGACGTCTTCCCGCAGCCGCCGTCGCCCACCAGGACCACCTTGACCGAGCGCGCGCCGGGCGGCGCCTCCTCGCCCCCGGCCGGAGCCGCCTTCATCCCGGAGGCCGGCGGGAGGCGGCGGGCTGCGCGCGGGGCCCGGGCGCGGGGCCGGCCCGGCGGGGCAGGAATGTGGAAGGGGCGGGGCGGCGGGAGGAAGTGGGAGCGGGGCCGGCGCGGGGCGGGCGGGCGGCCTGGGGGACCCAGGTGACGGGCCCAGGCCGGGATGCGGGGTGGGAGGTGGTGCGTGCCGCCCGAGACCCTTCCCGTCCCCCCGCGTGTGCGCGCGCGCGCGGTCAGCCAGGACACACTTGTTGAGTGCCTGCTGTGTACGCTGCAGGGAGTGTGTGGCCGGCCAGGTGACAGCCGCGTGGGTCCGCTGGGGTGAGGGGCCCCCAGGTTCCTGCCTGCCAGCCTGGCAGACCCCTGGGGGTGTCCCTGGCCCTGAACAAGAGCCACAGACCTGGGCAATTGAATGAATGAATGTGTGAATAAATGAATGAGCAAATGAGTGAGAGAGAACCTCCCCAGGGTTCCCTGGAGCTCAAGGGTTTCCTGCCAGGTGGGAAGTGGGTGGCTCTGCACGACCTATGGGTCAGTAGGTTTCGCGTGCTGGTCTAGCCTGACCTGCCCTCCTGCTGCTGGGGCGTGACCGTGACCTGGAGAGAGCCGTGGAAACTTCCACCTACCATCTGGAAAGTGCTTGGGGCGAGGCCAGGGTCAGGGGTGGGTGTTCTCAGGCTGCAGGAGGGGACACACACAAACAGGGGTGTGGACCTGTTAGCTCCCTGGGTAGGTCAAAGCTGGGCAAGGAAGCACCATGTCCCCTCCCACCCCCTGCCCTGTTGCACCCCACTGTGGTCCAGCGTGGCAGCCGGCGGGGGTCAGAGGCACTGCCCCCTACTTCCTTCCCACTCCGGGCAGAGCCGGGCTCCCTGACCTTCCTCCCAGGATGACCCTCCCCGGGACGGCTCCACCTGCCAGCTGTCCAGTCCTCCCCGAAACTGCCTCAGGGCTGGGCAGTGACTTGGCACTGGATTGGGTGCCTGACCACTGAGCAGGGTTCCCCGCCCCAAGGAGGAGCCCCATGCCATGCCCCATCACCTCTCTGTCTCTTTCCCATTTGCCATTGTCATCCATGGTGAGGCTGGGAGACGGGTGGGGCCGACAGGGGTGGAGAGAGTCAGCAGTGGCCTCGGTTGCTATGGAGATAATTACACTCTCGACACACCTGCTGGCCATCGTGCGTGGTCTCATGTTTGGACTGCAGGGCACAGGAGGACTCCAGTCCACCGTGAGCCCACTTTGTGGATGAAGAAACTGAGGTCCAGCCAGACACTGCTCTTGCCCAAGACGCACAGCGGCAGAGACGTTGACCTGGAATTTAGCCCTGGAGCTGGCTGTCCGTGCTACCTGCGTGTTCAGACGTGAGGCGGGGGTAGAGCCTCGTCTCTGCTCCCTCCTCGGGGTTGGGGTGGTCAGTAATGGGGCTTCGGGGACTGAGCCCCTGAGAGAGGCAGTAGCTGGACTCAAGCCCCAGCCTCAGTGCCTCCCACAGACTTCAGTCCCTGCTCCCCCGCCCTGGGCAGGGACATTGCCCCCCGTCTCCCACATTGCTGCCTGCTCCCAGTTTTCCTTGAATTTCTTCTCAGGCCAGGGCAGGTGGCCTGGTCACACCGGCTGGCCAGGGCCCTTGAATGTTGTGACTGTGACCATTTCCGGCCCACATTGACCCAGTTCCCTCCAGTCCTCTGGAACCCTGCCCAGTAAGAGGCCACCCTGCAGACCCCCGGGCAGCAGAGGGGTCCGGGCCAGCCTCAGATGGCAGCCAAGCTGGGACCACCTCAAGGGCAGGGGCCAAAGCTGACTCCTCAGTGTGCTCCAGGGGACAGGGCAGGGGACAGCTTGGCTCCGGCTGGCACCCTGTTGTGGCTCAGGATGTTATGTCCAGCTGGCCGTCTGTCTGCATAAACAAGGGAAGGGAGGCCGGGACGGAAAAGGACACCCCAAGAATGAACAAACCCGAGAAATGGACCACTGGACATTTGCCGGTGGGGGTGAGTCTAGGGAGTTCAGGATTTGGTGGGGGGGCCCATGACAGGTGGAGGGTCCACTTTCCAGCCTCCTCCTGCTCCCATGACCCCGGAGCCCGGACCCCCCATACCCCTCATATCTGGCACTCAATCCCTTCGAGCCGGTCTGTCCTGGTCTGTTCTCCGCTGCCCCCGTGTGGCCACTCTGCTCCCTGCACCACCAGGGCTTCTCGGCTTCTTGGCCCGGAACAGAGGCTGAGGTCCAGGTTTGGGATCCAGAGAACATCCTGACCCTACTTGCCCAGCTTCCTGGGGCTGTGGACATGGGGCCACTCATGGCCATTCCCTGCTACAGAAACTTCTGAGTGGGCCTCGGATGGGCCGGTGGGGGCAGGGATGGAGTGTGAGAGGGAGCCCTGTTTGACGTGCCAGAGGTCTCTCTAGGGGCTGCTGTCCCCTGGGGCTGCTGCTGTGGTCCCCTCCCGATTCTCCCAGGGAAAGCCACGGCCAGGGTGGTGGTGGCTCCATGCCTGTGCCCTGGGGAGGGGCAGTACTGTCGAGCAGTCAGGAGAGGGCAGGGTCACCTCTGGAGCCAGGCAGTCCAAGTCGGCAACCCAGCTGTGTGATCTTGGCCTTGTCACTTAGCCCCTCTGAGCCCCTGAACAGAGGCAGGAGGAAGAAGACAAAGAAGAGACCCAGATGACGTGGGTTGAGCGAGGCTCCGGGAAGCCCCTCTTTATTTAAGTTTCCAAATCATTCCAGTCGGCATACTTGGTCCCCACCGTGGCCACGTAACCAGGCGACATTTCATGCAGTGAGAGGAGGGCAGGGAAAGGAGACCCACATGCCCTGTGTGTGCACGTGCTGGGTCCCCTCCTGGGCTGCAGAGGCTCGCTCAGGCCCACAGGTCCTGCTCTGAGCCTGCTGGGTTCCCTGCGTGGCCGTGGCATGCACGACCTCCCAGGCGGGTGCTGGTCTCAGCCAGATTAACGGAGCAGCCTTCAGTCCTGGTTCTCGCGCCATCCCCCATGTCGCCGCAGGCAGCTGGCTGGGCCTGGGTCTCCATGGCTCATCAGGACCTGAGGGGGCCTCCAGAACAGCCACCTCCCTGCTGTGGCCTTCACCTGTCTCCCCATCCCTTAGCCACCTTCCAGCTTGACTGCCTGTCCTGTGGTAGTGGCCACCTGGTTGTCCCTTTGCCCTGCCCAGCCTGCTGCTGGACCTAGTCCTAGGATGCTCTTGGTGTCACGTCCTGGTCATCTCTGATGCCTGCCCTGGGTCTACCTACTCCACCATGCTGACCTCCTGGACTGAACCAGCCCCAGGCTTCTCCTCCCACAACTGCCAGGTAAACCAAGGAGCCTCGCTGCCCCTCTGGGCTTTGCAGTGGCCAAAGTTCATGGGGACCGCTGTCAAAAAGCTGAACTCGGGACCTGGCCAGCAAGAGGGACCCTGCTAGGACTCGGGCTGCCCACCCCCCAACACCCACTGGGATGCTTTCTCAACTCCTCTCTCCCCTCCTGCCACCCCCTCCCAGCTCCCAGAAACCCCCGAAGTCAATATGGCTGCCCCCTCACCGGGACAGGGGAAGCTCCCTTGATGTCCTCACCTCTTCCAGGGCCTGACGTGATAACCAGCCCCCCAAGTCCTGCTGTGTCCCTGTTGGCTTCCCAGGAAGCGAGAAGCAAAGGGGGGCGCCCCTGGTTCTCAGTGGCCGTGGAGTCAGAACCATGCCCGCCCCCTTGCTGTAGTGTGCACAGGGGGCCTCAGAGGACCGAGGGAGACAAAGGCGGCAGAACCCCAGGGTTGTGCAGGGGCTCTGCTACCCGCCCTAGGCCACACTGGTCGCTAGTGTCGCCGGACGGGGTGCCACATGGACACAGGCTTGCGCAGTGTGGCCAGCATCTGGTTCCAGTGTGTGGTGCCCATGCCGCTGGCCGCTGGCCCAATGATGACATGGCCCACGTTGTCCCCACGGCCGTCGCTGCTGCTCTCAGCCACCGTCACCCGTAGAGATAGGTCCTGGGGGGGAAGCAAAGTGGTTGCTGGGGGTGGGGAACAGGAGCTGCCAGAGGTCTGAGTTGCAGGTGCCAGGCCTCAGCAGGTGCAGGAGAGGCTGGGGGCACCGGTGGGCATGGATTTCAACGGTGGTGGCGCTGACCACCAAACTCATGGCCTCCTTGCTGTGTAACTTTGGCTCTTGCAACCTCAACGTCTCTACCTGTGCCAGGTGAGGACGAGGCCTCGCGTGTGGCAGAGCTGCTGGCTGGGGGGTGGTGTGGGGTATGATGCCACGCATGGGTCAACATGTGTGGGAATTGCTGTGTGACTCCTGCCTGGGCAGGGAGAGCTTCAGACTGGGACTGAGAAGTGGAAACTCGACCCTAACCGCCCCCCCCCCCCGCCTCCTGCCCAGGAACCAAGGAGGATCTGGGGCCTTTCCAGGCTTTGGCTGCCCAGGGCAGGCGGGGCTCGGACACCTGGTCTCTGGGGCCACGCAGGAGGCTATGATGCCCACAGACAGCTCTACTGAGACTGGGCTTCCCATCAGGGAGGGTGCCTCCGTGGAAGGTGCCCCCGGCCCTTCCCCTCTGTGGCTCTTCACTGGCCCTGGCCCTCACCTGCAGCACGATGGCCGGCACGGAGAAGATCATGGCTTCGTTGAACACAGGGTTGGGGTCGTCCCTCTTCACCGCCGTCTTCTTTTTGCTCATTTTCCTCCCATCCTGCAGCAGGTACACTTTGACGAAGGGATCTGTGGGCAGGGGTGTGTGTGTGGAGGGGAGGGCTATATGCTCGCCGGGCACAGCCCTGCCTCCCCTCCCCCAGTCCCACTGGGCACCTGCCCGCTCTCGTCAGCTCCTCCTGCACCCTGTCCCAGGTGGCAGATGAGAAAACCAAGGCTCATGTGACAACCAGGAGGGGGCCAAGCCTTGGACTTCAGCGGCTACCTCACAGCCTGTCTGCCCCCTCCACCATGCTGTGCCGGAGGGGCTAGGCAACCCCGCCTCCTTCATTCTATAAATGGCCCTGGCATTCCCACCCTCCCCCCAGCACAGACGTCAGCCTGAGTCACGGGCATCCGCCTGCGCTCCAGGGCCTGACTCAGTGGTGTGGCTCTGAAATACCAGCTCAGCCCTAGCCACGCCCCTTGCACCTGCTGGGTAGGGGGTGCCTGCAAAGGTGGGGTTCCCCCAGCCCTCTGTCATCAGCTGCCCCTATGGTCCTGCCTGGCACCCACCCCCACCCGATGGCCCTGGTCTTTTGTCTCTTGCTGCAGTGCCCTTCGCTTCAGGGCTGCTGCCTGGACCCCTAGTCTTTCTGCTCTCACTGTGGGGGTCCAATAGTCGCCCCAGCCCCTGGGCTCCACGGGAGCTCCACGGGGCCCTGTGTTCGATGCCTGCCAGCACCCAGGGCCTTACCCGCTGTGGTCTTGTCATTGTTCCAGATGAGGTTCTTGGCCTTCACAACGACCACAGTGAGGCGCTCGGCTGTGGGCAGGTAGCTGAGGGACAGCAGGATCTCCCCCACGGCGTCAGCCACCTGGGGGACAGCCAAGCGACTCAGTTTCTCCCTGCCTCCCCATCCTATCTGCCCAGGGACCCCAGAGGCCTTGATCTCTCAGAAAACCAGAAGCTTCCTTCCCCAGGCAGTAACTCGGGGTTCCTGGGGTGGGGTTAGGGCGCTGGTGTGATGGAGAGGAAGAGAGAGCTGCCTCCCCATCGCCCTGCCGTTGGGGCTGCCAGTCAAACTTGGCAATCAAATGCAGCTCTGTGCCATCTTCCAGGCCCAGGAAAGTGCTGGAACAGAGAAAGCACTCCTGCCTTTTGAAAAGGGGTGAGCTTGAGCCTGACCTCTGTCTACAACAAGCTATGACAGGGTCAGGGGCTCGCCTGCCTAATGGACAGAAGCTCTGAGGGTTTGTTCCTAGGAGCAGCCGCCAAGCAGGGGTCATTGGTCACAGGGAGTCGCTCGCTCCCTGTACATGATGGGCAGGTCTCCTCTGCTCCCCTCACGCTGTCGGGGCCCCACTGCTGTCCCAGGATGGCGGTGGTGGCAGCATCCCTCCTGGACGGGCCCTCGTCCCCGACGGCGGCAGCAGTGGTGGCGAGGTCCCTCCTGGACGGGCCCTTGTCCCAGCTCACCTTGTTCTGGTCCTGCAGGTAGAGCCAGCCGCTGAAGGGCTGCAGGGAAAGGTCCAGCACGGACAGCTTGAGCTCCACCACGCCCGTGCTCACGTTCTGCTCGTCCTCGTCAATGCCGAACACAGAGAACCGCAGGCTCTTCTCCTCCAGGGCTGCGGGGTCCAGGGGAACGGAGAACTTCTCGTCGAAGAAGATGGAGTAGGCGTTGCGCTGCAGCTATGGAAGTGCCAGGCGAGGAGCGGCATGTCAGGGCTGGGGAGCAGGCCCATGGGCAGGTGGATGTGTGTGGATGGATGGGCTGGCAGCTGGATGTGTGTGGATGGATGGGCTGGCAGGTGGATGTGTGTGGATGGATGGGCTGGCAGGTGGATGTGTGTGGATGGATGGGCTGGCAGGTGTGTGGGCAGGCGAAGGCATGAGTGCATACATGGATAGGGAGGTGTGAACAGATGGATGGATGTGTGGGTGGGTGAATGGAGGTGTGTACATGAATGGGGGGCAGGCACACAGGTGGGTGCATGGGGGGCACACTCCATTTCACAGCACATCCCGCCTGTGGGATCCACCAGCCTCCTCCCAGGCAGTGGTGGGCAGGACCCTGGGAAGGTGGCAATGCTTGCCTGTAGCACTGGCTGCCTCCCCTGCAGCTTGATGGTATAGAGGGTGCTGTCCCCCATGCCCACTCTGGCACCTCACCCAAGGGATCTGCCCGGTGGGACTGGCTCACATGTGGCGCTCACAGCCCTGCCTTCCAGAGAGCGGAGCACCGCACCAGCACACCAGCAGCCCCAGACAACTGTCACGTCTCTGCCTAGGCTCTCTGTTCCCCTGGGACAACCCCTTTGTCCCAATATGACCTCAGTATCCTAGCTCCTCCTGGTCTTTGGGCTCCATCTTGCTTTGCTCTGCCCACAGCGTCCTGCCCAGGGGGGCCTGGGTCCCCACACCTGCTCTGAGCTGGCACTCAGGTGGAGAAGGGTGCCCTGCTTCCTGCCCGGGATTGACCTTGGCCCTAGGAGCCCTGGGCTAAGGGCTCCTCCCTGATGTGGCTGAATCCATAGCTTCCTCCATAATTTCGACGTGCATGGCACACCTCAGCCACTTACCCAACGTCACCCTGTTGGGCAGTGCCAGGACTTGGCTTTGAACCCTGGCAGTAGGCAGGGCTCTGAGGTCCTTCTCCTAGCCACTCTCGGTCCATCCTCACAAAGGTCCAGTCTGTAGACCCATGCTGCAGTGCCCCACCCAGCAGAACACCCAGGCCATGCCCCTGCTCCCACGCTCGGGAGGCCCCACTCACCCAGGCCATGCCCCCTGCTCCCCGCCCCAGGGAGGCCCCACTCACCCAGGCCATGCCCCCTGCCCCCCGCCCCAGGGAGGCCCCACTCACCCAGGCCTTGCCCCCTGCTCCCCACCCCGGGGAGGCCCCACTCACCCAGGCCATGCCCCCTGCTCCCCACTCACCCTGGAGATGCCCACAATCTGCTCGTCGGGCAGCAGGCTGACGCGCATGAAGCAGGACTCGAAGTGGGCTTCCTCACGCTCCAGCAGGTCCCTGCCCTGCAGCACGGCCACGTGCAGGGTGTGGGAGGCAGCAGCATAGTCCATGCTCACCTCCACCTGGCCCAGGGTGAAGTCCTGCCCGAAGGTGTTGCTCACGGAGGAGATGGAATTGAGCGAGTCGGCCGACTGGGACTTGCGCAGCGGCCCGTAGGGGGCCAGGTCCAACTCGCGGCCCATCAGCTCCAGCGGCCCCAACTCGCTGATGCTCTCGAAGGTGTCCTCGATGCTGAGGCTGCCTTTGCGGCTGGGTGGGCCCCGAGGGCCAGGCCGCTGGGCATTCCAGGTGGGCGTCCTCTGCGGAGGGGAGGGTGAGCGAGCAAAAGGGACATGGCCAAGGTCAGTAGGGGACCACCAAACGCTGCTGTAAGCTCACGCTAGGATCTCCTCAGCGCTCAGGCTAAGGCTTGGCCCCCAAGTGTTGGGAGATGGGTGGTGGGGCTGGGCATGCCCGAGAGGTGTGGAGGACCCGCCAGCAGGTGTGCGCTGCCATTCCTGGGTACAGGAGTTTTTTCCCCATGGGACTTGGGCAAGAATAGCTGTTGGAGGTGGGCATGGTGGTTCAGTAGGCTAATCTTCCACCTTGCAGTGCCAGTATCCGGTACAGGCACCGGTTCTAATCCCGGCTGCTCCACTTCCCATTCAGCTCCCTGCTGATGTGCCTGGGAAAGCAGCAAAGGATGGCCCATGTACTTGGGTCCCTGCACCCACGTGGGAGACCTGGAAGAGGCTCCTGGCTTCAGCTTAGCTCTGACCATTGCAGCCATTTGAGGGGTGAAATCAGCAGATGGGGGATATGTCTCTGTCTCTCCTAGGCTGTCTCCCGTGCCCACCTCCCCTGACACTTCCTCACATCCACAGCCGTGAACATGCGAGACCCCCGTTGCTTATTGAGTCCTGGAGACGGGGATTCCGTCACAGCCGCAAGGAGCCGAGACAGTTGGAAAGCTTCTGAGTCAATGCGGTTTTAGGTCACTTCCTTCTCTCTCCTCAACCAGGAAGCCAGCAATGTCTTTCTCAAAATAGTATGTAAACATGCAATTCCACATATACAGAGACGGACATATACAATGAAAAAGCAGTAGGCAAGGAAGTGCCCAGCTGAAGGGGATCGGGCAAAAGAACTAGGTGACAGGAGCCAGTTGGTGGCGTAGGAGGCTAATCCTCCACCTGCAAGCACCGACATCCCATATGGGTGCCGGTTCTAATCCCGGCAGCTCCACTTCCCATCCAGCTCCCTGCCCGTGGCCTGGGAAAGCAGCAGAGGATGGCCCAAAGCCTTGGGACCCTGCACCCACATGGGAGACCTGGAGGAGGTTCCAGGGTCTTGGCTTCAGATTGGCTCAGTTCTGGCCATTGCAACCACATGGGGAGTGAACCAACGGATGGAAGATTGTTCTATGTCTCTTTCTCTGTCCCTCTGCCTTTTAAAGTAGTAAATCTATCTTTTTTAAAGGTATATATATATATATTTTATTTTGAATTTTTGAATTATGTGTTACAATTTTGTATGGACTGGCATTTGCCCCCAAAAGTTTACAAGAAAGCTCCAAGTTGGGCAACACTTGCCCAAAAATTTGGGTTTCTTTCCCTAAGTGACCTTTGGCTGCACTGTCGTGCTGTTATACTCGCTTGCCTGTCGCCACTGCTGCACGCGGAGGCCTTTCTCTCTCTCCACACACACACAGCAACGTGGAAGCAGCTTCCATGAAATGCCACCTCAGGCGACACAGCCCTCCCCGAAGGCCGTCACCCGTGCCCGTTCACACGGCGCCTGGCAGTGTGCAAATCCGTCCACGCAGATGCCTGGCACGCGGGAGCAGGTGGCGTGCCTATCTGCTAGCAGATCCTGGCCTGTGCCTGTTGGCCTCTGCAGAGGCTTGGCAAGCATGCTGCCAAGTGCCACATGGTGTCAGGCGCGGCAGATTCAGAACCAGAATGACAGCCCAAGAAGGGCTGGCACCGCCTTGCAGGGCACCCACCCCCACTGAAGGCGATGCCCACTGCACCGCCCACTGTGCCACTCGGTGATCACCACAATGGATGGTGCGGTAGCCCCTGAACACAGGGTTGGTGTGCGAGTGTGTGTGATGTATCTGTGCAAAAGGCAGAGTGAAAACGAAAATGCACGCCTCTGTGCACGTGTACACGAGATCTTCCATTCACCGGTTCACTCCCCAAACGCCCGTTGTGGCCAGGAGCCAAGAACTCTGAGTCTCATGTGGATGCAGGAACCCAAGGCCTTGGACCAGCAGGGGTGTCAACAGGGAGCTGCTTCGGAAGTAGAGCAGCAGGGACCGCAACTGGGTGCTGACGTGGGATGTGGGCATCGCAGGTGGCAGCTTAGCCCACTGTGCTGCAGCACCGGCCCCTGAGCTCAGGCTTGTGCTGCTGGGTGCTTGACAACAGCGGTGAGTGAGATGAGAAGTGTAGGATACACTGAAGGGCAGAGGGGAAAAACTGGAAAGAAGTCAAGACGTGAATGGTTAGAAAGCTACAAACAACTGCTCCTCCCTGGCGGTGGCATGTGGGGAGCTGTTTCTTTTACCTGCACTTTTCATTTTAAAAGTATTTGTTTGTATTGATCTGAGAGGCAGATGGAGAGCCCCTCTCATCCACAGGTTCATCTTGCCAAAGCCAGCTATGGCCAGGGCTCGGTGGAGATGGAGCTGGGAGCCATATCAGACTCCATCGTGGGTGGAGGAGACTACGTGTTTGAGCCTTCCGGAGTCTGCGTCAGGAGCCAGGGACGGGGACCCAGGCGCTCTGGGTGAGAGGGGGCCATCTTAAACACCCCGCCCCACAAGCTGCTTCTGAAGATGGAAGCCGGCCTTCCTTCCCTCCCTGGCTGGGAGCTGCAGGTGCGTAGGGTAAGGTAGGTCTGACCCTCATTCCTAGAGGGGACATTAATGGGAAGGGCACGAAGGCAGACGCTGAGGGTGCACAGCAGGGACATGGGGGCAGCCTGGGGTGCACCTGTGGGCGCAGCAGCCTCACCTTCCTCCCGGCCTCCGCTGAGGCCTCGCCGTACTTCCTCTGCAGGTACCGGTAGTCGTAGTTGGGGAACGGAGAGGGGCTGGGGAAGCTGCCGGATGCCCAGAGCCGCCACAGGCTCACGGCCGCGATGCCCAGCAGTGCCAGCGCCCCCGCGGCGTAGACGCCCACCTCCCAGCCTGGCGGGCTCTGGATGACTGCAAGGCAAGGGCGTCTCCGGTGAGCGGGAGGTGGGGCGGGATGGTCTTGCTCTTTGTTTCGCACTCCAGCCCACATAAGCGGGGCTCCCTCACCCGATGAACGCAGACACAGAACGCCCCATTCCCACCCTACAGAACTGGGGTCAGCACAGTCAAAAGGAACTAAGTCGGAACATCGCGCTGGGGACGGCTTGGAAGAACCCGGGCTCATACCACGTGTGGAAGAAGGAGGCGCAATGTCGCACTTAGAGCCAGCCCGCGCCAGGGTCCAGCCGGTGGTTCCCTGAGGCGAGGCCAGGCAGGAACGGAGCGTCAGCATTCCTCAACCCGACCCAGATGAGGCCAGGAAGACCTCACCCAACCTGGGGCTTGGTACAAGGTCCTGCCTTGCTTTGGGGAGCGAGAAGTGCAGTGGGGAGGGGGGGCAGGTACACAAAGCATGGCCACCCCGGGGTCTCACTGGGCAAGTCTGTTCTGGGGGAGACGAGTGAGTGAGTCACTGGCTGTATTTATAACAACAGAAACCTGGAGTCAGCCGGAGGCATCCATAGAGGGGCCGGCGGGGGGTGGCCAAGCTGCCTGCGGAAGGAAATGTCACTGGCCCCGCAGAATGAATATTGAGGTCACCGAAATGGCACCATGACAAGAGGAGGACATGCTTCCAGCATTGCTGAGAGAGAGAGTACCCCACAGCATATGATCGCACAAGATCATGGTGCAAAAATCAGGTAGTGATCTGGAAGATGGGATCAGAAGGATGGGGTGCAGGTAACACAGCCCCCTACTTCTCCTGTTGCATGAATGTAATTCACGGGCTACAGAAAACCATCACCAGGACCTGCAGAAGGTTCCAGGCCAGTCCTGGCAGGATTCCAGAATGTTCCAGAATGTTCCGAAGAGCAGAGGCATGACTGGTTAACTGCAGAATGCTACATGGGACCAAGCCAGTGCTGAGAGTTGGTGAGAAGGCTGGGCTGGAGCCTTGGTGAGAGCAGGCAGTGGGTCAGGTGGGCCAGGGCGGAACATGGCCTGGTCAAGCCTGAATGGGAACGCTAACGGACTAGCAGACTGGCCCACCTCTCTCTGAGGCAGAGCTGGGAGTGGGGTAGGGAAGGGCCCAGGCAGGTGCACATTCGCTGGCCAGCTGGTTTTACAGAGTACCACCTTTGGGGTGAACAGGGCACATTCCCAAGGGGAGCCAGGCCCACTCAGCCCAGACACGACCCAGGTGAACAGGTGCCCTAATTGCTTGCTATCCAATTTCTCCCCGGCCCTGCGATAAACACTTCAAATATGAGGAAGGTTAAGAAGCAGCTCACAGGAAATGAGTACTTCAAGCAAGTTTGTGCCAGGGCCTGGTTGGGGTTCTTGGGGGTTGCCCCGACTCGGCTACAGTGCCCACTGGCGCTCGTGAGAGCTGGGTCTGAGGACCAACTCAGTAGGGGCTCTTAGGATTCGGCCCCATGGGTCCACTCCACTCGCTCTCCAACCTCAGGGAACACACAGGGACATCTGGTCTGGCATCGGAGCACAGGGTCGGGGCTGAGCCGCCCCTGCTAGGAAAGCACACGAAAGACGGGACAGCCAGATCAGCCTCTGATTCTACAGAGGACCTGGACTGCCTCACCGGAAGATGGAGAGAGCAGGTGGAACAATGCTCCAGGCCAAATTCTCCAGCAAGTAGCTAAGGCTGTGGACGCCCCGGAACACAGCTAAGGCCGTGGACACACCCCCGGAACACAGCTAAGGCCGTGGACGCCCCGGAACACAGCTAAGGCTGTGGACACCACCCCGGAACACAGCTAAGGCTATGGACACCACCCTGGAACACAGCTAAGGCTGTGGACGCCCCGGAACACAGCTAAGGCTGTGGATGCCCCGGAACACAGCTAAGGCCGTGGGCGCCCCGGGACACAGCTAAGGCCATGGACACCCCGGAACGCAGGCAGCCGGCAGCCTTGGGAAGCGATAACCCACCCCTGGGGCAATGAGGCCGACGCCCTCTCAGAACACCCAAGGTTATTCAAGCAACACCTGCAGGATGTTCCCCCATCAGGGCCACTGGGAGGAGAGCAGGGGACCACCTCTGTCCCTGGCGCCCATGGGATCCCAGCAAGGAGCTGGATCACAGCTCCCTCTGCGCACCTTGGCCCACCCACATCACAGGAGGGAGGGTGGAGTCCTTGCCCTCCTTCCCCTACCCCTTCTATTCCTCCTCATCCCACCTGGAGACTTACATAAGTCTGCAATCCCCTTACTTATGTAAAATTAAATTGAAAAAATTGGGCCCGACGGCATGGCCTAGCAACTGGAGTCCTCGCCTTGAACACTCCTGGGATCCCATATGGGCACCGGTTCTAATCCTGGTTGCTCCACTTCCCATCCAGCTTCCTGCTTGTGGCCTGGGAAAGCAGTCGAGGACAGCCCAAAGCCTTGGGACCCTGCACCCGTGTGGGAGACCCCAAAGAGGTTCCTGGTTCCTGGCTTTGGATTGGTGTAGCACTGGCCGTTGAGGTCACTTGGGGAGTGAATCATTGGACGGAAGATCTTCCTCTCTGTCTAACCTCCTCTCTATATATCTGACTTTGTAATAAAAATAAATAAATCTTGTAAAAAAATAAATTAAAAAGATTAACTTTGTTTAGAGCAGACCAAGCCGAGCCTTTTGTTCCATTTCCCCCCAGTGTACTTTCTGAACCCCGTCCCTCACCTCCGAACCCATCAGGTACTTGAAATTGCGCCATGAAAAATACCCCATCCCAGGCCCAGGTGAGGAAGCTGAGGAGAGATTTGCTCAGACCAACCTGAGACTGGGGCACAGTCTGGCCCCAGCTCTCTGTTCCCTGGGTAGCCCCAGCCCAGGTTTGGGGCTCAGGTATGGGGCTGAGCTGGGTGGAGAAGGCCGAGGGGAGAGCAGGTGCACAGGCCTGGACACTCACCACACGGGAGCTCGCTGAAGCTTCCCGACAGCCCCAGGCAGGCCGGGCTGTTCCCACTTTACAGATGAGTAATGGGAGGCTAGAAAAGGTCTTGTCACCTGCCCGAGGCCACACTAAGGTTTTAGCCAAAGCTCGGGGGGCTTGCAAGGGAGCACAGAGGGGTCCTGGCTGGGGCCTGGGACCAACAGTCCTTTGTTCTGCTGGCACTGGCAGAAGCCATGTTAGGCTGGGAGTGGTTGTCATCAGGACGCTGGCCTGGGCGCTTCTCGCTGACCCCTTTGCTCTCCTGCAAAGTTGGTGAGCACTCCCATTGGGATAGCACACCTACTGTAGGGCTGCAGGTGCTGCTGGGAAAATTGGCAGCCACCCACCGTGGCCCTGACTGCCTGACTGACCCTGCCAGCTCACTGGCCGCTGCAGCAAAGAAGGCACTACTTAGGGACTGGGTGACCTGGGCTTCAAGAATCTGACATTGAGCTTTTTGGGTGTTTTTGACACAAGGGTATCACAGGGCAGAGGCGACGACCCAGAAACTTCTGAAGGGGGGAGCTGAGGAAATTTGAGGCTATTACTAGCCTCACCAGTCCCACAGGCTGGGAGGCTGCTGTGCGACGACCCGTGACCCATGGCCCCGGGGACTTACCGCTCAGGTGGTACTCGGCCACGCCCACGGCCATGGTGCCTGTGACAGCAAGGGGGAGAGAGTCAGGGCACTGCTGAGAGACAGCCCTAACCGCATGTCCCACATCCTGCGTGACCACACGCTTACCCACCCTCCACTGCCCCTAGCCCGGGAGTCACAACAGGCTGGGAAGGTGTGCCTCCACCACAGGTAGATGGCTTGAGGTGGCATTTAAAAAAAATAATGAAAAACGATGTATTGGGCCTGCGTGGTAGCCTAACGGCTAAAGGCCTCACCTTGAACGCGATAGGATCCTATGTGGTGCTGGTTATAATCCCCGCCATCCCACCTCCCATCCAGCTTCCTGCTTGTGGTCTGGGAAAGCAGTTGAGGACGGCCCAAAGCCTTGGGACCCTGCACCCTTGTGGGAGACCCAGAAGAGGCTCCTGGCTCCTGGTTTCAGATTGGCACAGCTCTGGCTGTTGGGGCCACTTGGGGAGTAAACCATTGGATGGAAGATCTTCCTCTCCATCTCTCCTCCTCTCTGTATATCTGGCTTTCCAATAAAAATAAAACAAATCTTAAAAAAATAATACTAAAAAGATGTATTTGGGCTCAGCATGATAGCCTAGTGGCTAAGTCCTTGTCTTGGGCCCAGCACGATAGCATAATAGTTAAGGTCCTGGCCTTGAAGACGCCGGCATCCCATATGGGCACCGGTTCTAGTCCCAGCAGCTCTACTTGCCATCCAGCTCCCTGCCTGTGGCCTGGGAAAAGCAGTTGGGGATGGCCCAAAGCTTTGGGACCCTGCACCCACGCGGGAGACTCAGAAAGAAGTTCCTGGCTCCTGGCTTTGGATCGGCGCAGCACTGGCCGTTTGCAGTCACTTGGGAGTGAATCATCGGACTGAAGATCTTCCTCTCTGTCTCTTCTCCTCTCTGTATATCTGACTTTCCGATAAAATAAATAAAATCTTAAAAACAAACAAACAAAACAATAAATAAATAAATCCTTGTCTTACATCTGCAGGGGGCCCATATTGGTGCTGGTTCTAATCCCGGCTGCTCCACTTCCCATCCAGCTCCCTGCTTGTGGCCTGGAAAAGCAGTACAGGACGGCCCAAAGCCTTGGGACCCTGCACTCAGGTGGGGGAGCTGGAGGAAGTTCCTGGTTCCTGGTTTTGCATTGGCTCAGCTCTGGCCAATTTCTCTACTTAAATTTGCCTTTCCAAGAATAAAAAGATGTCTTCATTTTTCATTTGTCAAGCCGTTATAGATAGAGAGGAGGAGAGTCGGCGAGAGATCTTCCTTCTGCTGGTTCACTCCTCAAATGACCACAACAGCCAGAGCTGGGCTGGTCTGAAACCAGGAGCCAGGGGCCTTCTCTGCGCTTCCCGTAGTTGGATCATTGCTGCTTTCCCAGGCCATTAGCATAGAGCTGGAGCAGCTGCGACCCAAAGCGGTGCCCGTATGGCATGCTGGTGCTGGAGGCTTAGAACGGTATGCCATGGCACCTGCCTCCTTAGATGGCATTTTAAATAGTGCTGTTTGATACTCTTGTCAAGGCCTCCTGTCAGAGCTTCCAGATCAAGTGCAGGATGCCTACTGAACTCTGAGGGTGCTTCCCCAAGTTCACAGAAAAATAGCGAAATTCTGGTTCAGGCACAAAGCAGTTTTGAACCCAGCACAGTTTGTGCATCGACACACATTGCTCAGAACTTTTGGAAGACTTCTTGCATGTACAGATCTTTATATCTTGCACCAAACATTCTTTCAATTCCAATATCCCATGGAAGTTTCCCCGCATATCCCACATATTGCACGAGGCATATTGATGCAAACACAATGAGTCACTGCTCACTGCAGTCCCCAAGTAACAGGGCGCCCTGTGCTGTGGCTGCCCCGCCTGGCACCCGCCTGGCACCCCACCTTCCTAACGCCAGCAGCCTATGCCCACCAACCTGCTTGCACTGCATTTGAACTGACCCCTTCACTGGCATGAGCCTGGCTCCCACGGTGTCCTTTCCCCTCCTTCTAAAGGTTTCATTTGTTTTATTTGAAAGGCAGAATCATATCTATAGCGTGAGATCTTCCATCTGCTGCTTTCCTCCCTAAATGGCCCCAATGGCCAGGGTGGGACAGACAGCTGCCAGGAGCCTGCAATTCTAGGTTTTGAATCTCCCCTGTGGGTGGCCCCGGCCCGGGGTCTTGGGCCATCTTCAGCTGCTCTCCCAGGCAGGCACCTTAGTGGAGAGCTGGATGGGTGGCAAACCAGCGGAAACTCGAACCCGTGCTCGGCTGGGATGCTGTGTCACAGGCAGCTGCGTAACTTGTCCCACCACAACAGTGCCTCCCTTCCACCTGGAAAGAAAGGGCTGCCCTGGATGGCTTCCTCCCCCACCTCACCCTGAGAGCGGAGCTAGACTGGGTAGCAGGCAGTTAGGGCATTCTGGGTCCCCAAGTCACCTTTTCTTTTCAATTATAAAGGGATATTTTCCCACCATGTCTTGGATGCACCAGACAAGTGCATATTTTAACAAGCTTCCCCAAGGGACAACGGCGACATTAACGTATCAATCCCCCACCTGAAGTATCAGCCATTGTGTGGCAGAGTCTCAGGCTGGTCTCCTTATCATTAGAAAGGCACCAAGGAAGTTGGCCAGTGACACCTTTCTGGGCCTTTTGTCCCAAGGCCAGGTACCATGGAAACCAGGAATTCAACTCTGTTTATGGAGAAACATCTTTGAAGTAAGCCTTTAAAAATGCTTTCCCCACCATTAATATGGGTCTTTTCCCCACTTCCTCTTGTCACAAAGGCGGGGCCTGAGTCCTTTCTAGCCCAGAGCCCCATCGCTAGGACTGGAGTCTCCTTTCTCATTTTTTCTAATAAATCTTGCTTTAAAACTAAACTGTGTCCACACGAAAATCCTTCTTTCCTGCGAGACAAGAACTGAGGTTGCTGCCATATTCGGGGTCAAATATCCTACAACAGCCCCACACTGCTAAGGTCTGACTCTGTTCTAGAAAGATCTGGGAGCTTACACTAGCCATTGTACCTGAACCCAGGAGAGGCCCATGCTTTATTCCTCTTCCTGCAGAGAAAGCCGTCAGTTGCCTGAGGTGCTATCGGTGCTGGGGCGTCCAGGCCAGGTGAGGGAGGGGGGCTGCACTGTGTGGGGCCTTAAGGCCGGCCCCAAAGCCTGCAGGTGCTCCCCAACCCCACGGCCTGCTGCCAGGGTGGGGGGAGGGGAACCGCAGCAAGTGAGACAGAAGGGGGAGACAGGGAGGAACTTGGGGTGGAGGAGGGGAAGGGGGTACAGCTGCTCTTTGCCGCAGTGGGAAGGAACGCCAGCGCTACCGGCTCTCGGTGCAGGGGTGGAATATCTGCATTTTTACACGCAATTTCCTGAGTTTTAAATGCCATGACTAGTACCCCAGGAGACGCAGACACACCTCAAAGTTGTGGCTCACTGCCCCACACTGTCCCCAACATATCAAGCCTTCTGTGGGATAAAGGCCAGACCCCCCCACCCCATTTCTAAGAATTCTGAAGGTTCTTCCCAGCCTGGGGTACTGAAATCAAGAACTTGAGGTACCTTGGCCCAGTTAGCACATATGTGGGTGCCAAAAGGCCTGGAGCGGATGAGGCCACCCTAGGCACTGCCCCCACTCCCAGCCACAGATTTGGGTTGTCACGGCAAGGGAGGGTGGTGCTAAACTAGAAAGGGCTTTGTCCACCAGAGGTCAGGCTCCTGTGCTGGACTCCTGATGAGCTGGACAGCCACGTGCTGCACACCTGTGACCCTATTTAACCCTTGCTGTCCCCACCTTCACCCCAGGGAGGCATCTCCAGCTTGCCCATCAGAAGGAAGGAGGTCAAGTTGCTTTGGAGGCATACCACCAGCTGTTCAACCCAGGCAGCCTGGCTTCCCACTCCCCACCACCATGTCCTCGCCACAGGGGAGCGTTTGCTCTCAAACTGCCTGGGCATCTGCCCAGCATCTTGTTCAAGCCTCAGGCGGTTGCCTGGCTGGCCGCCGGCGCAGGCTGACACACGCGTGCCTAGCTGCTGCCTGCCTTGCCGCTGGGCATCTGGTCATGCCCGTGGCTCTTTCCTGCAAAGCTGGTAGAAGCAGACTTGGCAAGAGAGAGGCCCATTGGGACCTGGGGCCAGCAGCGTGGTAAGCAGGTGTAGGTGCTCAGGCTTGGCACCACAGTGCAGTGTGTGTGGGGTGAGCTGTAGCCTGCCTGGGGTTACAGGGGAGGGGACAGGGGACTCCATCTCTCCAAGGCTGGTCCAGTTCAGACCCTAGACTCCTGCACTGCCCCCTCCCTACCACTCCTTCCGTTCATCCTAGCAACCCTTCACTGGAAGGGGTGATTCTAGGACTGCTAGGCACACTCCCCCCACCCCAAGCAGGTGCCACTGTGGTTAAGGGAAGGGTTAAAAGCCTGAATGGAGGCGGGGTTGTGGAAGCTCCCAGTCCCAGGTGCAGCTAATCCAGCTCTGAGCCTCGAAGCCCCCTCCTTGCTAGTCCCAGCGGCTTCGCTGGGCCTCAGTTGTCCCCTCTGTAACATGGGAATGGTGACCACCCTGTGAGGTCTGAGCAGGCAAGTGTGTTCAGGCCTGGGAGATGTAACTTGGGCTTCGCAGAGGTCCCGACAGGCTCCCTAAACCCAAGTAATCCAGGGCATCCCGGGGGCAGCCCTGCCAGCCTGCAGACGGGTTCTCCTGGTCTCAAGTTGCTAACAATTGAAAAAACCGGGAAATTTCCCACTAAGGCTGGATTTTCCTTGAGAAGTTGGAAGCCCTGGAGGACCCTGGATCTGCCTTCCTCCGTCCACAGCACAGCCGGGGCCAGGGATGAGTGGGTCCTCGTCCTTTTCGGACCCACTTCCACAACCTGCTGGCCCCTGGGGACAGCTCCCATTGCCAGCCTGGAAGTGGGACTTCTGGATGGGCTAGGAGAGGTTACATACTTTGTTCGATGCCACAAAAACAGCAGGTGCATGCCTGCTGTCCAGTCCAGCACCTGCCTCCTCCTTTAGCCGCCCGTG